TATATATATATATATATATATATATATATATATATATATATGTATGTATACATATATATATATGTATGTCTAAATTGCAATACAGAACAAATGTTTATGTATGTCTATATATTAAATAAATATATAATTATATATGTATGTATGTTTACATTTGTATATACATTTGTGTTACGTTTAATTGGTAAATGAATGTTATGTAGTTATATATATGTGTATATACATATGTACATAATGAAATGCCTTGCTATATATATATGTAAATATACAAATGCATGTATATGTATGCAGGAATGAATTTTTCTTTTTTCTTGTAGTCGTAAAGGAAAAATGAAAACTAAGCTAGTCCGCAATAAGTACATATGTATGTATACAACATTAAGCTTTAAGCTCTCGTGCTGTTCGGTTGTGTTTTATTGCGTTGCGATGCATGGCAGAATTTTATAAATAATTTTGTGATAACTATTATACCTTTTTATTGTAATTATTATTGGTAATTTGGCATATGTTCTGATTTAAGCAATGGCCTATTTGGCAACTGGTTTATTTATCTTAATCTGTTTAATTAAAGTTCTGTAGTGTGCTGCGACTGTTTCGCTTTAACGTTGTTTTCAAAGCTTTTCGCAATACAAATTTTGCAATCGAGAAATACGAATTATTGTGCATAAAGAAAATGTGAAAATAAAGTGCAAAACTAAGCAATCAGGAAAAGATACACCAAACATGTGTTTCTGACAATCAGCTGTTCGAGCATGATAAAAAGCTGAATGCTATAAGCTTCACATCACGCTTTTCGCCTTTAAAAAATTCTTAACATCGTAATTAATGTGTACGGTCTACATGAATAAGTTATATGTATGTACATATGTACATACATATGTGCGTATGTTTTAGTTCCATGAACTTATTGGGAATGCTTGTTTGTTATCTGTATGAGAGTAGTGACTGCCCCAAACACAAATCTCAAGTACTTCGTCCGTCAGTTTCGATACATACTACCAAATATACTTGTATATATGTATGTACACATGTATGTACGGATATATGTATACAGGTATACTGGGTCACTCTTACTTTCTCAAAATATCTTTGTTGAGAGTCAGTCATCTTATAGATCCTGTCAACATCTAATATTTAAATACATATGTATGTAGTTGTATATTTATGTATGCATATGCTTAAATGTATGCAAGTACATACATATGTACATACATATGTACGTATTGAAATTGAAATTGCATGTGAGCTAATTTTTCGATCTTTAAAGATGGGTGGAAAAATTGTATACATATCTAGTAGGGGCGTGACAAATCGGACCTGAAGATATAGTGATTTTTCAAATTCTGCTATATTTTAGGCATTTTGATGCTAGTGTGCTGAAATTTGGTATATACATACATACATACATATATGACCTTCCAAGTCCAAAGACTTTTGGACAAAGTTTATATATCTCAAAATATAAGAGTTAGAAGCTTTCAAATAATATTGTTACGCCTCTTTAGGGGAGTGGCATATCAAAAAATACCCTGTAATTTTTTGAGCGTAAGCAGCCCTATTTTGCAGCTAGGTTACCGATAGCTTGTTCTATAAGCCGAAGTGTCTACGCCCAGTACGGGCGTGGCAAATCGAGAAAACCTTTCTACAGGATTAGAGCTAAGCTCTGCAGTTGGTAGCGCCCGACTGCGACGTTCTTACTTGTTTTTTGTTTCAAAAATACCAAAAAGTAATTAGTTATGACAGAGTCTCCCAAATAATTTTGGTGTACCTATTATTTTCATAAGTATGTACATACAGTCTGTCAAGAAACACCCATTGCCCAATGAAAATGGGATATAGGGGTATAATGTTTTTGTGAAAAAGTAGGTAACAGGCAAAAGGAGGCGTAGCAGACCCCACACAGTATATATATTCTTGATCAGGGCGACGAGCTAAGTCGATTTGGTCCTGTCCGTCTGAACGCGTCGATCTCAAAAGATATAAGAGCTGGAGACTGCAATTTTTTTAAAATATCCGTTTATAGCACGCATATCGCATATCACTAAAAAGCGAGAACTCATTCCGATATTTTTTATCGATAAAAAACCTTATCGAATATCAGTTATTAAATTATATCTGCCACATCTTTAAAGCTAGAGTCTCCAAATTTAAAATGTATATTAGATGCATATTATAAAATTTCGATTTTTGTTAAAATTTACCCCCTCCCCATCCCTATATCCACCCCCTTACCCTCATATTTGTAAAAGCCGTATTTCAAATACTAGAGACTTGCGGTTCGGAATATATATACATTTGAACATTATGATAACGTTCTGAAAGTTTCATTAAGATTGTACGTCCAGAAATTAAATTATTTAACGAATAAGTTCTCAAAATATTGCCAAAACTGCAGCGCAGCCCAAGCGCAATCGCCTGTATATGTGCGTGTGTGTGTGCTTGTGTTTGTTTGTATGTATGTGTGTGTGCTTGTGTTTGTTTTTATGCGTGTGTGTGTGCGATTTTTTTTTGAAATATCAGTTGCACGAAGGGTTCAGGGGATCTCGTAGTCGAGCAGTCTTGACTAGAGATTTCTTACTTGTTTATTAAAATAAATGTATACATTTTGATTTAAGCGTTCTCCGGGTATAACTAGCGTTGTAATAAACCGATATAAGACAAAAAATCAAGTACTAGTGGTCTTTTCGAGATACATATATGCACACATACAGATACACTCATAAACTGGTGGTCTGGCAACTAAATATATTTTCTTTAAAATATTGCGGCAAATTAATGTTAAACTAAGGAGTTGAGAAACAGAATGCGATAAATTATATTATATATAATCTAATCCTAGTTCGTTATCAGCTTCATTGATTAGGTTAATTTAAGTTTACAAATTCTTAAGACTTATCGCAATAGCTTATTTGATAATTTTCATATATAATAATCTATAAATAAAAAGAAAAAGTAAGAACGTTGCAGCTGAGCGTTACCGCCTGCAGAATACTCATTCACAGTCCATCAGCAATTTAGTAGCTACGTTTAGCTCTAATACTGTAGTAAATTCTGTTTTCGCGATTTGCCCCTACTTAGAACGAGCTAACGGTAACCTAACTGCAAAATTTGAATGCTTACGCTGAAAAAATGTGAAAATCACCGGTTATTTTTCGATATGGCACGCCCATAAAGGGGCGTAATATTGTTTTGGAGTTATCGATAGAGCAGGTTACTAGTATCTTAACGTAATTTGAATCTTGTAGGTCTCATATGTTAGCAGATATAAACTTTTGCGACTTGCCACGCCCCCTGTAGGTGGACATATAATCCTTCAAAGCTTTTTGGTCTTGGGTGGTCAAGCCGTATATATTTCCCAAATTTGAGGTCTCTAGCATTAATAGTATCCAAAATATAGGTCACTAACATCAATAGTATCCACGCCTCCAGTGGGCATAGACATATAATTATACCCCATTGAACTATTGAACCCTGTCCGTCTAAAAGATTTAAGGGTTCAGGGTATCCCCTAGTCGAGCAGTCTCGACTATAGTCTGACTTGTTTTTTCATTAATCTTTTTAAAATCATAACATTAGCTTACGTGCCTTCAGTCTTCTAGCTTTAGACGGACGGACACGACGAACATTGCACAAAACCAATATACTCATTCATTTCACTTTCGTGAATGAGTATAGCTTAAATTAGCTTGAATAATCCCTTGCGAAACAGTTGTTAGGGAACCGAACAGAAGTGAGACTCATCATAAAACAGTCGTAAAGTCCAATTCAATGTCTCAGTTTAATTGAGATTGCGAGTCAATCGACACCTTTGGTATACGTAAAGGCAATAATCGTATTAGCAAATATAGATCGAATATATAAGTGAATGCTTGACTGTTTCCCTGTACAAGGTTCGTTCTGGAAGAATAGATTGGCGGAGACCTTTGATTCAACGTAAATAAATTTATTGAAATTGAATACGATATATTTGCTTTTTTAAAACATAAAGGAGGCGTCAAAAATACTTCAAGCGTTCCAAAAATTGTGCTCCTAATAATAAGTGTATGTACATATAGAATTTTTTAAAATATAGTGATAGCAAATATTGTATATAGATATATATTTGCATTAATCTTAAATGTACCCAAATGCAGCTTCAAAGCTCCAGAATACGATATGGCGATATGACAATAGAGGACCCTCCACAGGTGTTTTGAAGAGTTAAAAAGCATTCCTCCTTTCGTTTATTATGTAAATAACAGGTATAGCCATCCATAACATTATATTTTTTGTTGGTCGGAAAAGACCAATCATATGCTCTCGAGCATAATGTTGTCATGCATCCCAATGTGCATTACTAGGGGGGGTGCGTGTTATTATATTTTTGGACCTGTTGAACATGTAATA